CGCTGGTGGGGGCAAAACTACGTTCGGAAACTCCCTACCCCTACAGAATAAACAGGTTTGAGCCGGAGGCTTAGAAGGTCCGTCTGCCACGTTGCTGTACGACGGTACTCTATCCACCCAATAGAGCATCGGGTGCTTGAGATCTGGGCGATCAAACGCCCTCACCAGATCACTCATCCCTCGGCTGTTACTACCTCCCTTCAAGATCGCAAACCGGGCCGACTCATTGTCGACGAACAGGATGACCCGCCTGTTCAACAGACGCTCGGCGAGCATCCATCTGACCGTCACCATCACAAAGAGCTCAATGTGACAGATCAGCTGAGGTTCCTTGTCAGTGTCAAAGTCGGCCCTCCAAGCGTCAAGAGCCCAAGCTGGAGCCTCGCCCGCGAAGACTTGTCCCGCCTGGGCAAGAGGGTCCCACACACAAGCACCGATACCAGCAACGCCGCACTCCCATGATCCATCGGTCCAGATCAAAATGGGTTCGGGGGCGAACAGGCATGACAGAAGTCGCGGCGGGGACCCTTCAAGGATCTCACGCGTTCGTCGTGCCAGCTCTTTCAGCCTTGCAAATGCCAGATTTCCCCTCCATTCAAGAAGTTCAAGGAGATCGTAGCACACGTGCTTCAAAGAGCGCCCTGCCAAAAATCCCGCAGCGAAATTCAGCAACCCATGTAAAACCTGAATCTGATGTCTTGTTATGGCCTCCGGGACATCCACTTCCTCAAAAGCTTCCAACATCTTTTCTGCGCGGCCGGGTTTGTTGCGAAGGGTCACCAAGCCCTGGCGCACCTGAGACAAGTCCAGCGTCATGCCCAACACGTCGAACGAAGATGCACAAGGCTTGCCCTTCTGGCCAGTTTTGGCGTGGTCCCATCCCAACATGGACAGGAACTGGCTCACGGCTTCATCCGCATCCTTTGAACCCTCGCAAGGAGTGAAGATGGGATAATCGTCAAAGTACACCGCTGAAGGAACCCTCAGACACCGGTTGACTAAGAACCAAAGGCACCTACTCACCCGTATAAACCCGTACACGGCAGCCGTTGCGCCGAACATCAAGGAGTTAGGAAGGAAGAACATCTCCTTCCCGTCCGGCCCCCTGAAGTAAGTGACGCAGAGGTCGCGATGGGAAGGGTGCAATGCCAACTGCTTGTAGGCCTTAGTTAAGTCCAAGCACTTACCAACCCAATCCCCTGACCCAAAACGCTGACGGCCCTCCTTAACCTTCTTGGCGATGAAGAGGGCAACGCTTGCAATGTAGTCAGCATTGTGGAGCTCAAGACAAATGGTGGTGCTGTAAGCTGCATTGGTCTGAGACTGGCACGCATCATCGATGGGACGCTGCTTCGACCCTTGATCAAGAAGAAACCGTCTGATCACACACCAATGCTCGTGGCCAACAAGGTTGGTGATCTCCTCGGCCGAGTACGGCCCATCAAGGAAACCTAACTTAGCCTCTTCCTGAGTGACCTCTTGCAAAAGCTTGGCCTTCACCTTGTCACATCTGCCCTCATCGGCAATGATCGCCTCACGGCGGGCACGTGCCGTTTCCCGCAGGCATTCCTCAGTCAGGGTTGCAGGCTTAACTTTCTTCTCGAAGCAAGAGGGGTGCTCCTCAGAACCTAGAACCCCAACTCCATTGGACAGGAAATCCACGGCTGCAAGATCATCATACCCCTCCTGTTCAAGCAAAGTCCTTAAGGCAACAATCTTCTTGCCCTTCATGACCTTAGCCACAGGAGCTTCCATACTTGCATGAAGACGCTCCTCCTCCTTCTCGGATCTCTTGATGATAAGCTGCAATTTCAACAAAGCAAGTTTGCGGTGCAGCGCGACTTGTTCGGGACTGGAATTCATCAAGAAATCAACGGCCTCCTTGGTAATGGAAGCAACGGGATGCATGTAGTCAAATGGATGTTGCAAGTTCTTGGCCATCTCACAGAAATCGCTTGGGCTGTGGTACACGCCCACTTTCACCGACTTTCCCTGTGGAGGATCCCTACTAGAACCCGAAGGGGGAGAAGGAGAGGCACCTAGGGTCACCACACCTGAAGGGGGCTCCACTTCTTTGTCAAAATCCTTGTTAGCCAAACTGCTGTCACCTGCAACGGCCAAGCGGTGGTCTCCCGCAAACTCCCCCTGAAACGAGACCTCGCGCAAAACTTTCATGTCCTTTGTGACGGCATCAGCGGCAACGGTGATAACATGTTTAAACTCAGGAATCAGTGGCTTATGCTTCCGGGACTGTTTTCCCACAGCGGCAGAAGACACTTGGGGCAGGCCGCACCGGGCAGCAAGGCAGGTTCCCTGAGAGCGAAGAAAGCTTGTCAAGCACCTAGCCATTGCGCAGCCAACAGGGGAGGATAAGCAGCCTCCGACGACGTGGCAAAATGCCAACGACCATTATTGTTCGAAACGGACCAAGGCTCATGAGAGTGCTGATTATCGCACGACAGGCCCAAGACACTGTAAACAGAGGGCGTGCAAAGTAAGCGGGTATGTTTAGGCCGGTTACCGCCATGCATGCAAGCATGAAATTCCACAATCTCCAGCGCATTGTAAAGCTTCTCATCAGCAGGTGACTGAAGAGCCCTCAGCATCTGGATAAGGGCGGCCCAAGCCCATGAACGGCTGGGGTTTTCCAAAGAAATGACAAGCTTATGCCTGGCAGCATAAAGGGCCAGCTGCAGAGAAAGGGCATACAGTTGGTTGGCCTTATGAACGCGAATCCCATCAAGAGAGGCAGGATCAATGTGCGGCAAGCCTAGTGGGTGCTGAGCATCACGCAAAGGCTGGGGTTCCGGGGCCCCGGCTGCAACAAGCTTTGCTGGCAACTTGCGCTCACGAGCCCTCGAAGAAGTGCCGCACGGCATGCCCACATGTAAGGCAATCGGCTTAACTCTCCGAATCAAGTCCCAAAGAATTTTCTCGGCAGAAGGCTGCGTCAGGTCCAGCGGCACCATGGGCACGGAGGCGCCTCGGACATGAATGTCAAAGGAAAGGACCTGAAGTCCAGCTTGATGCCACGCCTTAGAGAGCGAAGCGGACCCTGCAAAGATCTCAAACGCCCAGGGCCTATGGTCAACAGGCACAGCCGGCGGCGAGGCAATGAAAGGCAACTGAAAATTCAAGCCATGCAAAAATTTGATGTCTGACTCAGCTAGGCCTTTGAGAGGCACACTGTAAGCCACAAGAACTTGTCGAGTACCCTTCCAAGGCTGAGTCCAATGCTTTTGGGATTGGGCATCGAACTGCAGGACACGATCCCGGAAGGGAACAACGCGACCAGAGATCACCTGGCCCTTGTATGAGGCCCGCTCGGGCCCGGAGGGGTCCTCCACGACAATTCCGCCATCCTCAAAAGCTGACAGTGCAAAAACAGCGTTCAAGCTCCCGGTCAAGTTATGGGTATCCACATGAGCCTCGGAACGAATTTGAGAGAAGAGTGCAAACGACGTGTACGCGTGGTCCGGCAATTGTTGCTGTATAAACTTGGCGCAGGCCTTAGCACAATTAGGAAAGTTTCGGGTAGTTCCACACACACCCG